ATTCTGCTATCCAATTGTCGATGTCGTTGACGAACAGGCAGTACACATCAGTACTGACGGTTTCATTTACATCCAGTCAAAGGAGAAACATTTGTTTCTCCAGACACCAAATTGGAACTGGAGTTGTGCCTCTGTAATGAAACGGGGGAATTTTTTTCCTTTACGACACTGCGTACGACTGCACTCGGGTACGTTCGGCACTGGTCCAGCCTCTATGCTCGTACACTTGTTGCTGGATTTCATTTACCCTTTCTGGTGTGCACTGTGCATGAATATCAGGTCGTATCATCGGTAACTTTCACTTGGCATTCGCGGAGGCGCGTAGAAAAGCTGGACACGGCTTCTGCTGTCATATGCATCCCTACCACAAGCCTTAGACCGTTTACAAAACTAGCTAATGACTCGAAAAATCTGTCCCTCGTTAGCAGCCTCTTGAAGTCACTCGCATCCTTTTCTATGGGGGATCTATACTTCACTGTGAAGCAACACTTTTTCTCATCTCCCGAGACTTTTTCGATCAATTATCGGTTTTTGCTGCGGCCTCAAGAAGGAGTTCACCTGTGGAGCGCACGCGGCGCGACCGCAGACACATGCAGTAGGATCAGTGGTTAAGGCTAAGGTTATGCGCCTCCACGCTTCTAGATGAAGGCAGGCATAGGTTGGCAGTCAAATTCAGTTCCATAAGAGAGTAATAGCAGCGGTGGTAGTCATTGTCCACTTCTTAACCGCGCTGCGAGATCGCTTGACACACTCCACCTCTGAGCTCTTCTCCAAGCGCTTCCCCTAGTCCCTTCAAATGGAGGTGGTTCGAAACTGTCTCTCTGTTGCAGTTTAACTCCTCATCCACTTCTTCCCGATTTATTGTGTGTTCAGAAGTGATACCAGTTTGGGACGAGCCTCGTCATTTGAAAAGAAGTGAGGATGAAACATAAGTGCCCACAGACAAGATAAGGCGCTTCAAAACGTTACTTAATGGCAACCCTAGTGACGGAATCATCGCGGTACAAGACCAAACA